TCACTCACTCTACTGCACTGCCCACAGCACGGCCTGCCCGCCCCAGCCGCCCACAAGACCCACATCGCCGTCTCCACCTGGGTCAAGCTCCATCTTTGCACTTCTTCAACCTCTGTAATAAAACCATTTTTCCAACACTGTTTTCTCCTGAGAGTGTTTCTCTGCATGTGGGTCAAACAGCCTTAACATAGCCATGACAAGAATAATGTCGTCCCCTCCAGCTGTATGGCCGCGTCTGGGATGTTGTCATGGAGCCAGGTTTCTGTAAAACCAAACACAGAGCAGTCTCTCCATCTCTGGGGGTTTCTCTCAGCAAACGTAGCTCGTCCAGCTTGTTGTAGAGGGAACGGACATTGAAGAGAAGGAGCGACAGTCCTGCTGATCTGGAGGGGTTAGCCTTTAGCCTAGCATGGATTCCAGCTCTCTTCCCCTTCTTTTGTTTACGTTTGCACTTCCTTCTCTCTCGGGTAACTGCCGGCATAGTCTCCAATAGGACTCCGCGTTAGCGCCGCATGTCCAAATCACAACAGATCACCGTTCACTGTCCTGATGCCCAGCAAAGTCTTCCGGCTGCAAGTTTTGCAGCATGAAAGTCTGAGAGGGACAGGCAGGAAGCCACTGAAGGCCTAGGTGTAAAATGCACAGCCTGCCACTGATGTGGAGTGTTCTGGCAATTCATAGCCACAGCCTTCATCCATGATGGTTACATAAAGCACGATGAGACTCATAGTTTTCAGACTTTACATGTATGGTTGAAACCATCATGAACATCAAGACTTTGTAGTCAAAACATGTGCATTTTACATAACTAGAAGACAATTTACGCAAAACGAAAGTAAACAGTGTGCAAGTCGCTGGAGAGGGACTATGACTGCCATGACATCATAATGGAGCTGAGCTGAATCTCTTTGACAGCCTGGCTCTGCCCACCAGGCTGCTGCAGGTAAAGGCCTGCTCCGAACAGTCATTATCCACGCAGAGCTTAACAACTCTTTCTATGCAGTGTTATAATTATTTATGTTTCAAGCTATCATATATTCTGAATCTGTATTTCTCCACTGAACCTATGATCCTGGTTTGCTTTTTTTCTGCTGAGTACATTGCAAGTCCTTGAAGATAACATGGCCGGTGAGAACTGGTTCACATACTGGGAGACAGCAAAAACTCCTCTATTCTATCAGTTACTTCAGATAAACACCTTTTTGACAACACACACACTTTGTATTTGATCCAAGCAGTTTCTGTTTACATTTCAGTGAACTTGCACATGAACAGTGGTTATCCTGTTAACGTCACAGTAACTGGCCAATTAAACTTGGTTGCATACAAGTCCAACCTCTGTTTTTTCCAAGACCAGAAGCACAAACATTTGGGGAATTAATTATGCAGTGGGTCAGATAATATTAGCAAGCCCAGCTAAGAGATTTAGTACGTTCAAAACTGTGTTCCTCCAGGGCCAAGGAGAACATGATTAACAAGCTGAATTATTTTGCAGAGTTACAGGTTATGTTAGAAACAGTCCTGCTCAATATCAACTACTGTTAGTGGCCATGTCCTGTGTTTTATTAGAATTGGAGAGTTTAGATTGTAGTTTAGCAACTACAGACAAATTCATTAACAGTTATCTCTATTTTTCAAAACCTTTTTTGTAAGACTAAAAAATACCCTTTGACTATTCAAACATCCATCCATCCATTATCTATACACCACTTAATCCTCACTAGGGTCGCAGGGGGCTGGAGCCTATCGACTATATAAACATGAAAGCAAAGAATTTTAAATTAATTAGCCAACTGCAGCTGAAATGTGATCAACACAATCAACACTCTTCATCCGGATATGAAAATTTGCATTTGTCTGTGTTTGTTACTTTAAATAAATGCTTAATTTTCCACTAGTATCACCGTAGACTGCTTTTACAGCACAGGAATGGAACATTTTACAGGTGTAACAACAGTGACTAAGACAGACACAGCCACTCTGACATTGTATTGTATTTGTGAGACATCATAAATCCTAACACTTATAAAAAGCCACAAAGATCAATTACAGAGAGACTGAAAAGATAGAGAGCGAATAAAAAAACTGGAAGAGAAAAAACACTATTAAAAGCTACATTCCTGACAGCATATGCACCATAACAGCTCAACTCCACCAGAGAACAAATTTTTCCACTTTGGTGTGTAGCCGGCTCCCAGGGTATTTCAGCCACGGTGCTGCTCTGTGAAGTGTGGATCAAAGCCACTTCAGATGTTTGTTGACAAGCCATGATTACATGACACCGAGCCAAGGCCGCTCAACTGTTTAACATACCTAAATAAACCCTGTCTGGTGAACAGAGGATCAGGACTCCCTTGAGGGAAAGGCCATCAAGGAGCTGCAAGAGGCAAAGATTCCTGCATAAGTGAGTCTCTTCTGACTTATACGTACCTGCTTGTGCGTAGTTTTGTTGCGACGAGGGATCTGCTACATTGGCAACACTGGAACAATCCTCTTTCTCCTTGGAGAGAGGGCACTCGAGTCCACCTGCAGCCTCTAATAGACTCTCCCTCGAGAACTCTGCAGAGGTCATAGAGACAAATAGAGGACGAGGTAGAGGGGAAGATAGTCATACAATCAGATAGTCATCATAAATCTGACTTCACAAAGATCAAGGGACACACTTCATTACACAACCGTGCTGGTGAAATGCCAATATCTTCTCTTAAACATTACAAAATCAGTCCATCTTGACTCATCAATCAATGCTGCCTGACATTTGTTCCATGTTATTTGATTGAATTTTAAAGTCTAGTCTTTAAGTGAAGCCATACTTGATCAGGCTGGTGTTAGTGGTCATTGATTTTTTTTCCTGTGGCTTCCTCTTTGCTCCTTTCATCTGGACTGAGAACATAATTTGTTGCTCCTCTATGACGTGAACAATCCATACAGAACATGGTGACTATGTCATTTTGGAGTCAAGCTTTTCAGGCTTTTACACCACAAAAAAATATTAGTGTCCCAGTGAGTCAAAGTGAATTTTTTGGCACTGTGGTGTTATTGCCTCAGACAAACAACCCTGTCCACTCATGATGCATTAGTCCTGGGCAATTATTGAAGTGTGTACAGTATGTGCTGTACACTCAGGCCAACTCGCCACCTGCCATTACAGTGAATTATTTGGCCCGAGCTGCAGAGCTGACCTTTGTTTTTTGCCATTAGAAGTATAGCACTTGGCACAGAAATGAGATAGTCTCTGCCAAGGAGACAATTTGGCCATGATATTTTGGGAAACACACTTATTTTTGAGTGTAATTTGCACACCTCCATGTAAGAATTTGCTCATTAAAACAATGCATTTCGTTCATTCAATCCATACAAAAACCAAAATGTAAAAACACCTGATGTTTAACTACAAACTGCTCCTGGCTATGAAATAATCTGGCACACAGCCACTGTAAAAATAATTTTAAATTGTTTTTTTTTTCTTGACTTTGGACAGAACCAGGCTGACTGTTTTTTATTGTTTGTAGCTTCATATTCCCCAAACTGACATGAGTGCAGTAGTCTTTTCATCTGTCTCCTAGCAAGAAAGCGAATGAGCATACTTCCAAAAATGTCGATATTTTCCTTTGAATATTTTGCCCGTCCTCCAACCCTTCCCCAATGCCTTTGTTTTACACCTCCCCCCAAAACCTCATGCATTTACATACATCCCTTCCAGACATGCTCATGCTTCCTACCTCATTCTCTGCTTTTCTTTTCTCCCCCTTTCCCCTCTAACTCTACTCCCTTCTCTTCTGTTAATAAGCTGTATTTGTTATTCCTTGCACCTTCTTCTGCTTTTTATGGTACTATGCATTTGTCAAAGATCACATCAGACCTTCTTATCTGTCTCACATCCTTCCTTCACTGCATGCTCTCTTGTGTCTATCCTTTCATTCTTTATTTGTGTCTTCTCTTGACACAGATAGGTTTCAGCATGCAACCCTTTTGAATCATATTTGTTATATTGCCTATTGGCTGAAAATCCGAGTCTCCTGCACTTTTTTTCTTTTATTGCTACTTCTGCTCCATTACATCCCAAAGAGAAATCTCTCTCTCTCTTTTTTTTTAACCTCTACAATGTTCAGGTTAAGCTTTTACACTAAAAAACAAAAACAAAAATACAATAGGCTTGTAGCTTGTTGACAAAATATAATTTTCACAATCTTGGATTATCCTTTTTAGATTAGAAACCTGTTAGGAAAGGACAGTGTCTTGTGTTTGGTAGCTAAATGACCTGAATTCTATTGCTGAATTGTCATTTGACAAGTTACAGTTTCAGGTCGATAAAATCACTCAAAAACTTCATGCAAATGCAGGACGGATCTCATGTGACTCTTGTTCTTGTTCTATATCAGTTCTGTGGTAGATGTTTAGGGAGGTTTGTGTTGCTGAATAAGTGGCTGCACACAAGCCTCCAAACATACCCTCCATTTGGCAGCGCAGTTTCTCAAAGGCCTCTGCAGTGGCCTCGTCGTCGTGTGGGAGCTCCTCTCCGGTGGGAACAGAGTCGGGGCTAGGCCGGTCCGACAGGCAGCTCTCTGAGGAGCATTCGTCTCCAGCTCCCTGCTGCTGCCTGTACAGGTGGTGCTCTACCATGAACTGCAGCTCTGGGAGGGAGAAGAGTGGAGAATAGACCAAGATAAGAACAACAGAGAAATAAAGTTGAATAAGAGGAAAGAGGTAACATGGGAGGGAAGATTAGAGGAGAAAGGAGTGGGTTGGTAGGAATATTGAAGTGTGATGGGAAGATTCATCGGGGAGACGGGAGCAAAAAGAGGACAAGCAACAAAAGTAAAGTGGTGTGAGATGAAGGCAGCCAATGGGAGAAAAGAAGGGTTATGAATAGCACACAGGAAAGAAAGATGGAAGGAAGGGAGGGCCAGTGTAGGTGGAAATTCAACGAGAAATCCAACATGTAAAAAAAATACTGTAGGTTGAGCATTTTAATAAACTGGCAACATTTAATTAACCCCCTGCAACTGTCTGGAGTGAGGGGGCAGGTAAAGACACATCAGAGTGGAGATATGATTTCTTTAATCACCAGCTCCGGCCCCCTTCATCCGTGGTTTTATTAGTTTTAATCCCCTTGTAGTGGGAAACCAAAGCATACTTGCTGCCGCCAAGGTTTTCTCTAAGAAGTGACTCATTACCCTTACAACACTTTAGCTGTAAAACTAATTGAAAAATAAACATCCTAGAGCTTCAAATTTCGATTATCTTCACATTCCGGGTGTCTTGCTTGACTTTCTTTATTAGAAATTTGTTTATTCTCTCTTTTTCTACATATATTCTGTACAAAACTGTTTGTATTTTAATTGAATTATACACTTAACGTAGAATTTGCACTGCACTGCAACAACCTAAAGAAATATGAGGCATTTTAGTATGTTTCTTTAGGCGGTGCAGGACCCTATGCTAGAATCTGACCCACTTTTTAAATTAAAAACACAGAAAATTAGAGGAATTTTGATCAGAAAATGGGATGATGAGTCATCACTGAAGTGTGTGCAGCACTGATTGGCTCAGAGTTTGAAATAGGACACTCAGTTTCAAACTTGGCTATTTAACCACAGAAATTCATGTTAATTTGCATCTGAAAAACCTGCACTTGAAACACTTTAAAGACAAGAAACTGGACATACCAATGGCTTCATTTTTAGAAACCATAAATTAGATTTTTTTCGAAAATAATGGTTGCATGACTATATATAAGTTTAAACAGTTTTATAATGCTGTAATCTTTTTTTTTTTGCCTCAACATGATTCCACTGTAAGTGATTGTGGACAAAATCCCTTTTCTGTGCAAAGATTCATGCAAAAGTTCAGCTGATCCTAATATGATGCTTCAGCAGTCGGCGTTGTCTAAAAATTCAGTGGTTATCTTCCAAACCTGCAGTCTCCTTAGAGCCTTTCTTCATGTTTCATTATGTCCTTGCTGAGCAGTAACTGTAAAAAGCCTGTTTACCATGACCAAAGAGTGCTGCAACTGAGTTTATTTTTTAGATTGTGTCTCACAGGGTTTCTCACATTTTTTCATTGTGTGGTTTATTGCCTGGCTTTGTGGTTTCTTTGTCTTTGTAAAGAGCTTGAGCTGATTTGGGACTGTATGTGAGGGGTATACAATGGGGGGTTGGGGGGCACAACTGCTTGCTCAGAGGGAGTCCAAAGGTAACTTGGATTGCTGGGTTCTCTGGTTAAATTGCAAGGTCTTCACTTTACCATGTAAGCGCTATGTGATGACATATGTTGTAAACTGCGCTATACAAACAAAATCAAATCATCTAGCCCTGGTTGTTTCCCATATCGTGGGACTGTAGGTTGCAGAGGGTTCATTATTGCACTCTGTACCTATGTAATCTGGATTGTGTACAGTGAAGACCATTTAGCTGGTCTCCTTGTTCTTGTCTTCATACTGCATATTGTATTGTAAAATTGTAAATTCAAGGCTCTGCCGGGGGGTTGTGATCTCTGGGACTCTCTGTGTCATGCTTGCTCAGATTGTTCTAGAGCATCACTCGAGCAGAGTCACCGCCAAACTCAATGCATGTGATCCCAAATAATGGGTAAATCTGACGAGGTGTCCTGTCTGAACTTTACACATCTGATTAAACTTGACTTAGCTTGACTCTGATATCAGATGGATTGAGTTACTCACTTACGTTTGTTGTCCTTACAGCCTTTAGCACATGAATACTTGTGTAATTCTATGACACACTACAGCAAGATTTGACTAATTGTGATGATAACTGTTGGCCTTTATCAAACATATTTTTGTATTTCATCTTCTTCAGGACCGAGGACAGTCAGTTTGAGTTTTGAGACTCTTATATGAAATACAGTGGTAGAAGTTACAGGACAGGGTAATGGTTAACTGTAGTTTGGAGACACACGTTCTCCCCCAAAATCTTCATTATTTCCATATTTTTTGACAAAGTACCGCTACTCTGGTACTTTATCAGCAAGTTAAGATTTAAAAGCTATAGTTAACTGTGATAATACACCTGCAAAGCACTGAAGTACAGTACTTTTATTTTGCAGAAATAAAATGCATATCTATGTCTTACATGGAGCAGCAAAGACGCTACAGCATATAAAACTGAAATAGGAACAACAAAAACATGGCATTTGCTGTTGTTTAATGGTCACCAAAAGTGTGATCTAACACATAAAATGTCAACATCACACATAACAGAGTGTTGGTGGCTCGACTTATAATAGACTACCTTTCATCGTAGGTGTTCCTTTTTGCCCTTTTCGCCGCTGTCGAGGGGAGTTCAGCAAAGCTGCCTGTAAAATACCAACACTGAAAATCAGCAGGGCAGAGAGCATGACAACAGAAGAGATTCGTTTAATAGACATAAAGCTGATTTTGAAAAAAAGAGCACGAATTCAGTTACCTTGTATAACTGGTTTGGGAGACGATCTTCATCTATTTCTGTGAAAAAACCAAATAAGCAATTAAGTAGTGGTCACAATGAAACTATGAAAACAAGGAGAATAAAGCACATATGCAATGACCAGGCCGACATATGATATACTAGCTCTAACAAACTACACAAAAAAGTCCTACACACTGCAGTCTTGATACTGTTTTTAATAGCACAGTGTGCTGTAGCTGCTGTGTGTCCAGAGTAGAGTGGATCTAAGGTGACCTCCAGCCAGATGGTTATCTGACACACTACGAGCTCAAGCTTTGGAAAAGTATTCCATTTTTATCAAGCATTGTGGATGGTGTTATCTTATTTCTCACCATCTTCTATGAAGGAAAACAGAATCTCTTAAAATAATGGTTGCTGATCCACTCTATCATATTCCTAATAGACCCCATATACAGCCAGCAGCTGGTAACAGATAAACACTAAAACACTGTTTATGCAAAAACCCCTAAGGGGGAGTACATGTGAGGCATACTGAGGTGTACTGTGGAGCAGAGTTGATTTATATTACTAAAAGCAGCTACTGATGGAAAGCATATTTATTCAAATACGGTGTATAAAAGCAATACTGAGGCTCTCAATTTAATTTAGTTTAAAATTTTTAAATGTGCATATAAAATGCAATGCATTCTTCCACAGTAAGTTAAACCATCCAACAGTATTAAAGTTATTTACTTGGCAGCTGGCTACAACATTTAAGTGCAATTTGCAGGTTGCAGCATTGATGGCAGCATCCAAGTAGTACAAAACATGATAATGCAACACTAACTGAGTCCATTTTGACTGCACACTGAGGCCTTTGACCTTTTTATTGTAAGTACACTTTTCCTATAATCCTTTGGTGTTTTGTTTTTTTTTTCAATATATGTTTTTGGGCTTTTGCCTTTATTTAGAGCAGGAGAGAGAGGTAGGAAAGGGGGGGAGAAGAATGGGGAGAGACCTGCAGCAAAGGGTTGTGAGCGGGAGTCGAATCCACGAACCGCTGCATCGAGGAACTATCGCCCCTGTTCATGGGTCGCCCACTAAACTAGGTGAGCTATGGGGGCGCCCGATCCTTTGGTGTTTTTAATTGGATATTTCTTCCACTACACAAGCTGCAACAAGGTGTACAAACACAGGAGGAGAGATTTTATTTGCCTCTAAGTGAAAGGGAAGGTCCAACACAATATAAGAGTATGAAACTCATATGAGCTTCACTGGATGAAGAAAAGCTCAATAAAAAAAGTCAATATGTGGAAACATGACTCTGTGGTCACTACATGAAAGGACCAAAATAGAACAAAAAAATCTGACTGGAGTACAGTGAAACCATTAACTGTGATCAATAGTGAGTGCATTGAACACACATCCAAATAAACGTTTTACAGCCTTGAAACTTTTTTTCTAGGACACCACCTTGTTGCTTGGCAACCTATGCATCCCTCGGCACTGGGAAGGCATTGCGCGTGTGTTTCTGTGTGTGTGTGTGTGTGTGTGTGTGTGTGAACATGCATGCAAGAGAGCATGTGCATATATTATTCCTGCTTAAAAGCATAGCACTAGGCTGTTCAAAATGCCAGTGATGTGCTTGTCGCTTCATTTATCTCCTCTCTCTCTGCTCCAAACACAAATGCAGCAGTGTGTAAAAAATCTGACATAAAAGTGAATAAATTCCATTTTGTGAAGAATTTATTTTCATGCTGTTTGTGTCTACAGTGACGCTAAAACTTATTTTTAGCATCTCCCAGGAGTTGGAGAAGGTTCATACAACCGTTATGGATTTTGTTTCCAATCAATCCCAGGAAATGGGCCAGTCATGGACTGTCCTTCAAGTCAGCAGGAACAGCTTAAGAATTATGAACTGGTGCTTGACAGACAGATGTTAAACAGTCTGAAATTAGACTTTCATCCCACCAGTGCAAAAAAACAAAAACAGTAATGTGATATATTTTCCACAGCAAATAAAAAAAGTTTACGTGTTGAAACAAAGGCAAGAATTATCATAAACATATTCATGTTTAATAATAAGGATGAGAACATTTTCAAAAGATGAATGCATTTTATTTTAGTTCTGAACAAGTGAATCCATCTTTAAGGGGGAATTAAAACCTGTTGTACAAATTCAGAAATTCTAAACATTGTTTAAAAATACAGCTAATGAACTAATATGGATGTTTGATTATTTTTTGTCAAAATCACAGATAAAAAATAAATAAATTTTATGATATGAAATGGACATGATAAAGGTGCATAAACAACTTTGCGGTTTGGATTAAAGTTATTACTTCACTAACATGAAAGAAATGTTAAAGTTAAGGAATAATCATGTTTAACTGAGAATCATTCCATAATATTACTTAATACAATCTTTATTCATAATTGCTGCTACAGTAGGAACTTTGTTACATAAACAAATGTTGTTGCTGAAAGAATTTACCTCATACGTAAATGACATGTCAACATACACACTGTATGTATATGTAACTGTTAATTTACCTGTACTATACAGAGTGTGTAGCTGCTACATAATGTGTATTGTGTATTGAGCAATTTGGTTAGTGCAAAAGTCAAGTGTAAAAGCTCTGGCTTCAGCTTATACCTTTTCAGTCATTGCTATAATTACTATTATCATTATTTTGTAAGTTCAAGGTGTCATTTTTTATTTTTGAAGAACTCTTTTATTTTGTCTTTTTTATTTTTTTAGATATAGATAAGAAAAAGTTTTCAGTTCCAGTGAAGAGTTTACTGCCTGCTGTGATACAAAGGAGATGTTGTAATTAAGAAAACATGACCCTGGAAACATGGACGTAGAATAAGATGCACCACAGATGGAATCAACATGGAGCTTACGATTAATCCGGTGTCTCCTTAATATTACATATTGTCATTTAAAATGATGAATGCACTGTATTCGAAGATTTTAAATCTCAGAACAGCGAGCAGCTGTGTTTTAATTTGAGCAAGCAAAGTGGTTATTATTATTAGACATGGTTGAAATATCATTTGGGTCAAGAAGCATAAACTCTGGTGATCACGAGGCTGATATTCAGATTGTTTTGTCTGTGTGTAAAGCCCATCTGTGCTGCAGAATGAGAGAAAAGGCCAATAACAAAGAAAAAAAAAAAAACGCTCTCCAGCAGTGATGAGTCTATCACTGCGACTCCCAGCTGACTGACTGTCTGACACAAAGCCAGATGAAACAGAGAGGGTCTTCTGACTCCACTTTATTCAGCCAAGCTGCTCCAATTTAGCTATCTACTGTAGCTGGTGTCAGATTATAGTTGCTCTACTGCATCTGATGAAGAAAAATGAGCAAAACAACAAACACTCTTGCATGGTGTGTTCTCTGAAAAAGAAGTGACATTTATGCATTTGAAAAGGTTGTTTCATCTGTGCTCTTTTTGCACTTGTTTACTGTTGCTAAGAGCATTGGAAGTGGAGGAGGGTGGCTTTCCTTTTTGTACACATAATAACAAGTGGCTTCTTTTCATTTTACAGAAAACACTGATCCTCTGCCCCTCCCTTCCACTTATCTGAGCCTAACAAACCAGCCACAAAAGGCATTTCTGATGCAAATATCATCTCCTTTGAACATAAAAAACCCAAAACAAAACAAAAACTAATGATGTTTTTAAGGAAATGTAGAAATAAGAGCTGGCAGTCACAGTGTAAAGCCAACCATGATCATTAAACTTCATAATAAAAGTAATATATATGGAATAAAGACTTTTCTGAGGATTGGAGAATATAACCTAATTTAAAAGAAAAAAAAACAATAAAAATGAGACCCTCAGCTGTTTACAATAATATAAAAAGTAGGATATTTTTCATGTCTTGTTATTATCACCACTGCGAAAAAAAAAAAAAAAAAAAAAAAAAGAACGACAAAAACATCACAGTATATGCACTAATAGGAGAAAAACATGTCCCAGAAACCAAAGATAATTCCAGCTGAAATGTATTGGTTTCAAATTTGTGCAGTGTGTTTCTGTTTATGCAATACATTCATGTATATGCAGCTCATTTGTGTTTTACGCATGTCGAAAACAGTACACAAGAGCCCAGAACAACAACTAAAGGTGCTGAAGCTCATAGGGAATCCAAATGTTTTGGATTGTTCGGTGTTTCTGTCTCTGCCTTTGTGAAGCGCTATGAGATGACTTGTTGTTGTAAATATGCGCTATACAAATAAAATTGAATTGAATTGAATTGAACTCCAAGGTCAAGGTCCATCAGGGTCAGATCACACCATCCATCGTTCTTTGAGCCAAAGTAGACTTCATGGGAGGCGACCAAGGAGGACACCATTGTTGAAAACAAATCATAAAAAGCCAGACTGGAATTTACCAAACTGCATGTTGACAAGCCACAAAGCTTCTGGGAGAATGTCCTCTGGACAGACGAGACAACACTGGAACTTTTTAGCAAGGCACATCAGCTCTGTGTTCACAGACGTAAAAAGGAAGCATATCAAGACTAGAACACTGTCCCTACTGTGAAACATGGAGGAGGCTCTGTTATGTTCTGGGGCTGCTTTGCTGCATCTGGCACAGGGTGTCTTCAGTCTGTGCAGGTACAATGAAATCTCAAGACTATCAAGGTATTCTAGAGAGAAATGTGCTGCCCAGTGTCAGAAAGCTTGGTCTCAGTCACAGGTCATGGGTCTTGCAACAGGATAATGACCCAAAACACACACAGCTAAAAACACCCAAGAATGGCTCAGAGGAAAACATTGGACTATTCTGAAGTGGCCTTCTATGAGCCCTGATCTAAATCCTATTGAACATCTGTGGAAGGAGCTGAAACATGGCGTCTGGAGGAGGCAGCCTTCAAACCTGAGACAACTGGAGCAGTCTGCTCATGAGGAGTGGACCAGCATACCTGCTGAGAGGTGCACAAGTCTCACTGACAGTTACAGAAATGGTTTGATTGCAGTGATCGCCTCAAAAGGTTGTGCAACAAAGTATTAAGTTAAGGGTACCATCATTTTTGTCCAGGCCTGTTTCATGAATTTATTAATAATTTTGAACCACGGTTCAAAAGCAATGTCTGATTTTCATTGGATAATTTTCATAGAATTTCTATTTATTATTACCTTTGCCATATTCAAGTTATTTCTGTGACCGTTGTGGGTTTTTCTTTTATTAACCGAGTGGTACCAACAATTTTGTCCACGTGTGTATATGAAAACTTTATATATAGTAATCATAATATGTCGTGCACTGAAGTTGAAATGTTCCACATGTTCTATTTCTATTGCCTGGACACACAAATTATCAAAATAGAAGTTGATTAAGAAGACATTATTCCATGTTGTATTCATTATAAATTCAGATATTCTATTTTTGTTCGTCAGTCAACTTATCACTTTGTCTCTCTCCAGGAATAAGTAAACTCAAGACACCACTCATAAGCCAGGCTCATCTTGACATAAAAATTCAAATCAGCAACCATCTTGTAATAATTTCTCCTTCCTCATTATTTAGTCGGCAGCCTGCATCTCAGTTGTCTGTGCATCTGTGGCTGTTTCTCTGATGTGCTTTTGGGGTTCGCGGTGCACAGGGCAGAGCAATCTGCAGTGCATTAAATAATGCAGGGCTCTGTGTGATGTGGGGCACACCATTACTGCACCAGCACAGCTCCTCTCCCTCATCATCATATCTATTCCTCCCCATCCCCCTCTTCTCTGGCTCATCCTCGTTGTCTCTCTCACACACAAACACCCATAAAACTCCAACTGTCTCAGATGGAGTCCTTGCATCTGATTTGATGTCTGTCTTGATTGCTCGTCTCGCCATTTTTGTTTCAAGAGCTTGTGTTTTTTGTTGCTGACATCAGATTTCCTTTTGAAAGCATGCACAGGGCGAGGTGCAAAGCAGTGTGACATTAAATATGAATCCATTAAGAAGAAACAAGAAAAACAAAAACCTTATTCCATAGGTATGATGCCTTCCTTGGCCCACAAATAGTTACCACTCAAATGAGAGCAACATAGCTAAAAAATTCTCAAGAAATACATTCAAATATGTATATAGATTTGATAACTTTAGGAGGAAGCCTGTTTGGAAATCCAGTTAAATGCACAAGATGGCATACCAGGCAGGTCACAGTAGACCAACAGATGGAAAACAGAAGGTCACTGCCATGTAAACAGATAAACTAAAACATAGAGCATTTGAAATGAAGCCTTACCCAAACTTAAAGCAATGCAAACTGAAGGAGAGCACTGTAATTTGTTTAACTTTGATGAGTCATTTTGGTCTACCTTTGTTTCCTTATTGATTGAAAAACAAAATAAAAAATTACCTCCCTTCTCTGCTGGGAGTTTGCCTCCTTCCAGCCGTTGCCAACCGCTTGCTCAGAGGAAGTCCAAAGGCTACTTTAGATTGTTGGTTTCTCTGTTTAAATTTGTTGGGTCTTACGTGCTGTGTGATCATGTGTTGTAAACTGTGCTGAACTGAATTGAAAATCTAGTTTAGAACTCATCAGTGTGCCTATGACAAAGACAACACTGCAATAAATATAAATTTTTTTTTCTTTTTATACTTTGTCTCTGTTTCTTTTTTCACCGTCCTATTCCTTCACTTCATAAATGATTTCTCCTACACTCCACTTCATATCGTCTTAAGTGCCTTCTTTCTCTCTTCTCTCTTTTTTTTGTCTCTGATCTACTAAGTATGGAGGATTGTTAAGAGTTCTCTCTGCCCTTTCATTCACAGATCAAGGTTGACGCCACATGCTCAGTGTCCAATTAGGGATTCAAACAAGCACGTAGTCTCACAAAGACACACAGATCACAGGTAATGACACTTGCTTTTCTGCTCCAATTAGAGGAACTCTTGTTTTCAGGATAAAAACACAAATGACGTCATCTTGCAGAGATAGCACACAAACTATAACAAAGGCAGTCTCCGTCTGTTTTCTCAGTGATGCATCCGCTCTCATTTATTTATGCACAACAGAGGATCCCACTCTGTTTTTTCTTTTTTTTTTTTTTGGAACCTGGAGAAAATGACTTTCTCCACCCCATGTTCCCTGCTGATTGTCTCTTAATTTTGCAGTGGGTCACATTACACGCTCACAACACAAAGCACAGCAGAGGCAGGAAGGGATGCAGGGAGCCACTGGATGACTCATGCAACGAATAACTCTCCAGAGGATGGCTTTTGTGTTTGATCATTAAGATCCCATGAGAGGACACATGCACTTGGCTGTTTTTTTCTTCCCTTCTTTTTGCTCTAATGCAGCAGGAAGATTCATTTGCTGCATAATAGAGTTGAGATACATGATCATAGCAATCAAAATACGATATGGAAATGTGGATTGTGAGTGGGACTATGAAATAATTATTCAAGTCAAGTTTATTATAGCCTGACATCACACAGTATGCTTCAGAGGGCTGCAGAAAATGATAAAAATGTAAAAGACAGATACATTATATACGTATGTAACACAATGAACTCAAGGTCGAGGCCTATCAAGTAAATGAGGAGTGACTAAAGGTAATAAGTAGGAAAGTGTAAGCCTGTGTAATAAAAGCACGTACAGGAAACCAAAGTAATGAAATAAGCTCAGGGGTAATGTGATCAAAATGTCCAGTCTTGCTTAATATCCTATAGCAGCACTGTTTTGTACAAGTTGTAATTTGCTCGAATAGTTGTTAAGCACAGCTCCTTGTGAAGCACCGTAATTGACCTTAGCATGGCCTGATGAACAGATGGTATGCACAATAAAGTGAGATCTGTCCGTTAAATATGATACAAACCAGGAGAGAGTGTGTCACAGGGACCAATATAACTTTCTAAATCATCGAATAGAAAGTGGTGATTAATCAAGCTGCACTGAGGTCCACGAGCACTGGTTCTGACACTGAGCCAGAGTTTGCAGCAGGTGATGAATCATTCACCACTTTTATCAGTGCAGTTTTTGAGCTGTGGAATTTTCTGAAAGCGGAATATTGAGATTCAAACAGATTATTGAATGAGAAGTGAGATATGCGTTGCTGAGCCACTGCTTCTTTAAGAAGTTTAGACAAGAATGATCGATTTTCTTGTAGTTACTCATTACATCAAGATCCAGGAATTAAGTACATCAAGGGAAGAAAAGAGTTACTAACACAGCCACTTTCTTGGCCCAAAAACCTTGGTCCCACAGAGTCAAGCATCTGTCTAAGTGTTAAGACTTGTGCTACCATTAAGGCATTGTTTAATTTTTCACAGTTGATAGTTAAAGAATTTGTTATAATTGCTAAAGCATAAAATAGTTTGTAAAAGAGATTTATATTTTGATATCGGTTCATCTGATGACATGTCTGTTAAGTTTATTGGATTGGATTTCACATTTATTAATGGTGAAGAATGGGGGTAGGACTTGACAAGCCTAGACTTCTTCCTATCCCATTTCAAACAAGTCAAATGTGTATTATGTTGAAGTTGGCTTTTATTTTTTATTTTTCTTTTCCATTTATTTTAATCGTTTGTTCGTTCGAAATAAAGAAAGCAAAGATAATAAAAGTAAAGAACATCACGTTCTGTTAGGTCACTTCCTGTGTAATTTCTCTTCCTGGTTCTTCAGAAAGCAAGGCAGGACATGTTGAGCATGTTGTGAATATAATCTGCTGCCATCTACTAGAATTCATCATAGATGCAATGCTGTAAGTTCACATGTGTGATGTTCAGGATAGTAAAATATGTAAATAGTGATGCTTTGTTAAAAACCATATAGGACAAAAAGTTTAAAAATGGAGTTTGTTGATATTTACTTACAGGCTATAAAACACGCTAGTGGTCAGTGTGAGTGTTGTTCGAAGTCCATGGGGTGTTGTTGTTATGTTGAAGTCACTTATGATGCAGTATTGTGTTGAGGCACAGATATTGACAGTTTGTATTGTTTTATTTGCAGTTTTCACCAACATTTTAATGAAGAAGTGTGACAGTAAATGGTCAATCTTGCTACGACTCTGTCTTCATTGGCTTCAGTTTAACTTTGTGTTTAGTCAGAGTTTCAACACTCTGCACAAGGACAATACAAGACTTGTTTTTAGGCAGGTTTGACTGTTAGGTCAGGTTAGGCATGTTATGATTAAAAGATAATTCAGATTTATTACAACTTAGGTCCTATTTTTGTAATTTTGGCAAGAATTTCTTTTGATTATCCTTCTTAACAATAAAGTCAGACACAGCAACAAACCTGAGAAGTCAGATGAGGTCAGGTTTTAACAATCAGTTTAGACAGATTACAGTACCCAGTTTGTCAAGGTGAAAACCAAAAATGGGTGCAAGCAAAATGTGGACAATGATTTCTCTCTGACCTTGAATCCTCAGCTTGCACAGTCAGTCAGTGTCAGCTGAGGAATTCAGTCTGTTTACAACTGACAGTGTCTTATTTTCCAAACATGTAAGGAGACGATCGAGGTCAGCCATGTGTAAAATATGTGGATCTCTCAAAAATCTGAATGAGGTCACTTCATTGAAACAGTAAAGGTGCAAACAAAGAAGACTCCGGCAAGAAAACACAGAGTCAACCTGGAAAGCCACTAAAATATGGGCTAGTGCACATCCCTGATAGATGACTTTGCAGTTTAAATACCAACATATATCTATTTATTGTCTGACAATTAGCACTACAACAATAATAATAATAGTATATTTAACAAACTTATGGTATGTAATTTGTGTCACTTGACTTGACCTATATGGCATCATGCCCTAAAATGTCCATCGCACATTTACTTAACTGAATTATCTGTAAAGCACAAGGTCAGCCTGCAGATTAGAAATATGATACACCAGTGACGAAAATAGTCTATGTGAGAGTGCAAATTTGCATTGAAGTGCCTTACCAGGTGATGATTGATCACTGGATGCCACTAAGGTGGCAGGTGTGGGTCTGCGTCTTCTGATCTAAAAAAAAAAAAAGAAGAAAAAATGAATAAATTCTAAAGTCAGCCTTGAATTATGTTCGGAAAAAAAAGACATTTCCATTACAAATGGTTGCTGTAATGACAGTAAGTCACAGTACTGCTTTTTTATTTGTTTAAACAGCAGTTCTTGCAGATTTTTACATGCTAAAGCAATACAATAAATCTCAGTCACTTGCTTTGCCTTTAATGGGTGATAAACATGCCACCTATCCAGAAACACACTGAAATGTTCATATTCTTTTGACTCAACCAGTGGGAAAGAGTCTAGCCTCTACCTCCAGTGAAGGGTTGTACAGTTAACGCAGCATCCAGTTTCTCAGTCATGATGCTGTCAGACCAGAACAGGCCTGAGTGATCCAGGCTTTTGGTTTGATAGTCATAACCTTGAAGATGTCTGGGCAGGATGAGAGCAATGCTGGATCCTGCAGTGCTGTGGAGTGAAATCAGCAGGGCTGCCTGCAGCCTCCCACTGGCTTCTTGGCCCACATAGTGGAGTGTGGCAGCTATGGACCATTCTGGTACAATACACTGAAGAAACTTTACTGTTGATTTTCTTGTCAATCAAACTTTAATGGAAGTATTTGCAATGTAGTTAAAATTGTTGGGAGAAAGTAAATGCTAACCTTAATGCTTAAATCATGTTTATTGTCATTTTGCTGTACATACACAGTAGTATGGGCACGATGAGAGCGTTTCTTCAGGATCATTTAATTAGTACGTTTTGTGGAATGCACGTCTGGTGTAGGCAAGACACTAAACATTCACTCTCGCTGTCTCCTGAAGGGGGCGCTGCGTCCATGCGCGCCACCATCACATTGAACATGGCAAACCTCTTCAGGTCCTGGTAGGAAGAGGAGGAAGAGAGCCGGGATCCAAGCTAAAGGCTAAACCCTCCAGATCAGCAGTACCATTGCTCCTACTCTCCAATGTCCGCCCCCTCAACAACAAGCTGAACAAGCTACGTTTGCTGAGAGAAACCTGCAGAGAGTGGAAAGACTGCTGTGTGTTTGCTTTAACAGAAACATGTCTCCATGACAACATCCCAGACGGACATACAGCTGGAGGGGACGACATTATTCTGGGCGAACAGACAGACAGCTAGCTCTGGGCAGCATCTGTGGCTTCACCATCGTCACACCATCATGTGTGTTCTTGTGTCCCAGAAGACCTACCAGGACCTGAAGAGGTTCACCATGTTCAATGACGCAGCGGCCCCTTCAGGAGGCAGCGACAGTGAACATTTAGTGTCTCTATCCCAGACGTGCATCCCGCAAAACTTGCTGGTTGAATAATCCTGAAGAAGTGCTCTCTCATCTTGCCTGTACTACTGTGTATGTACAGCAAAATGACAATAAACTTGATTTGATTTGATTTAATGTCACAATGCCCTGTAATGGCTATAAACATACACAAAAATATTACTTTTAAATCCATTTAAGTAAAACTTTTAGTTTTGTAAAGCAATGCAACATACTATAATTCTGCATTTTAGGTGCATCTCCACACCTGGATCTTTCAGTCTAAGTTTAATCCTTTAGCAAAGTTGCATTTCTACTGACTCTGACTGCTGCCTTTTTAGAGGCAACAAATGTCAGACAGACCCATTTTAACTTTTTCTTACCGAGCTGGCTGCTGTAATTCACTGTTGTTTTCAGAGAACTACTGTGGTCTAAAATGTGCTTTCATCCCAGAGCTGATGGACAGTTTTAGAGTCAGTATGGGCAATGTGGAGATGCAGTTGTTAAACAGAATCAGAACTGCAGCCCTGTCTCCAGAGCTTTAAAATTTTAGAGAAAAGCCCAGTAATTCACTGTCAGCTGCTGGATCAGGTGATTGCATTTCAGTTTTATTGCTCAAATGTAAAAGCCTGGGACTTAGTAATTTAAACAGACAGTCAATTAAGCACACACACACACACACACACACGCATACATACACGAATGCACTGCACACACATAGCTGACAGAGTTGCTGACTGATGCTGGAAGTCATGTCGTCTCCAGTCTTCAATGCATCGTTTCTAAATGCTGCTTGTGCACTTAGAAAGCAGTGCAGCCTCCACCTTCACAGCTGCAGCACCACATGGCAAGTAGGTTAGTAGCTTTTTATTGAAAAGAAACCAGAGCTAAAATTGCAAGTTGTAATATGTGTGTTTAGATTTAATCTACAAGGAAAATCAAAAGGTTGGAACTCCTTTTTTTTATTGCAGTTGCATTCACAGTCATAATGCAAAAGTGACTGACGAGCATTAGCAACAAAATTATTGGCCTTGGATTACAATCCCAGGATGCAGGCTTTGCTGTGACTGAACAAAAAAAGCACGAGGAAATGATTAAATAGCACAAGATAGTAAGAGGCACAAAACATCACTTCAGATTTTAATAATCTGGATTGTTGGTGGTTTCCCTCTATTCAGAAATCCCTCCTGCAAAACCAATATCTCCCTGCACACACACACATCCACAGCCTGATGAAGCAACTATTGGACCTCTGCATGGTTCATGACCGAAATTGATTAGCTTCATGTCGTAATGGCATGAAATACAGATGTAACTACAGACATAATGTGCAGTAGTGAAAAATGAGCATAGTCAGGAGTATCTGGTAGCACACAGTCAGTCAGTATTCAGATTTGAAGAGGCTTCATTACCTTTGAATTCACAGCTGTGGAGAAGGGGAAGACTGTGAATAAGAAGAGACATTGAGGGCCTTTTCTTTTCTTTAATAGGCACACTGCTGAGATATTTTACTCCTTCGAAACACTTGACTTCCGAGAAAATTGCTGACTTCATTCCCTGAGACGCATGTCAGCTATTCAATGTTACCTCCCTGCGGCACTGCAACCTTCTCTTTAAGCTAGCAATTCTCCTTTCTGTATCCATGCTTATGATTGTCTCTAACAGTAGTTTTTCAGTAGTTTTCCAGAAATGTCAGTGTCAAGATTGATAAAAATGCAGATACAGCTGAGGTTGACTTTTCTTTGCCAGTGTGCCGTGTGTCACTGGATGGCAGTTTGAATGTGCACAACCACAAATAGATCCAGGCACTTCTACGATACAAGTTTGAAAAATAGGGATCCAAGCGCCAAATTTCACAAACATACATTAAGGACACAGTACGATACAGTTTCTCAAGCCTCATTCACATGTGCCCAGATGTAGTACAGTATGTTGTGTGCATGCAAATACATCCCTGACAAAGTCAAGGGAACTAAGCAAAAAAACGGAGCAATTCTTTCACATGCAGTGTTGACACAAACAGATGAAGTGCTAAATAGTCAAATGGAGAGTAAATGTTTTTCTGTTAAATCTCATTTCAAGAGTAAAATCTGCATCCTTGTAACCTCAAATGTAAGGCCCGAAAATACAGAGCTGAAATTCCTATTCCCGTGTGAAAAAAGCCAATTCACCTTGCAATTTATATAGCCTTAAGCAACTCTGTGAGTATGTTACACTCCTGACACCCTGAGCAAGGTCTACTGTGCAGCTGTATCACAATCAGAGCTGGAGATAATTGTGTATTGATGTCCTTTTGACATATTTTAAATATGCATTTAATTACTTTACCTTCTGCTGAAGTTTATAGTATGTTAATTGACTTACACTCTATATTTGCAACCTCTGGAGAAGCTCTGTGGCTCAAGTTTTGAAAGCTGCAATGGAAATGTTGTACTAAGTACTCTTGTGGATACCAAAAAGAGTGTAATAATATTTTAGCCTTGTGTATGTTTGTGTGTTTTATTGCCATTACAGAAAATCCTCCCTGCCAGCCTATGTTAAAGCACAATGAGCCGTGGCTGTGTAGAACTGATTATACTCAGAGTCATTGTTATTCTTCTCACCCAGCAGCAGAGCGAACTCCCTGATCCTCTCGCTCACAGAAATACCACCGCTTACTGGACGGGCTAGCCGCTCCAACCGCCTTCCCTGCCTTTCAACCTCCAATCTGTTCAAAATGCAGTTTTATCACTTCTCACAACAGCGAACAAAAACAGCCTTCAAAAGTGATGGGTGGGCAGGAAAACTGGTGCATGCCTGATATTCTTGTTGTGTGGGGGGGCAGTGGACAAAATACCCTTGGCTGGAAAATGTAGGTCAGGCCACAAGACAGCAGTTAGAGTCTTTTCTTATATTGAGACCCAAAAGTGTGTGGGCTCCAGAAGACTCCTATGCTGTACAGAACTGCAAGGATAAGTCAATGAATCAAATAATTGTCATGTATTAAATTAACTGTCAACCATCAGACTGTCAGAATCTATTAATCACTTTGAGTATTTTTTTTAATATTTTTTTTTATTTTTAAGAAAAGTCACAATTTGCAGATTCCAGTTTTCTCAATATAAACATTTTACACATTCTTTACTCCTCCGTGACAACAAAGTCAATATCTTTAATTTGTGGACAAAACAACACACTTGAGGATACTACCTTAGGCACTGTCATTTTGACACTTTGTAAACCAAACAACTAATTGATTTATCCAGATAAGAACTGGCAGATTAATTGAAAATGGAAATAATTGTGAGTTTTAGCACTAATGCGGTATGTGGTGAAGTAGGAGTGACTGCAAAACCAAAAACATTATATTTCCCTTTAAATATTATTTATTTTCGTCTTTTTTCTTAATACCCAGCATGAAGAATTGAATGGATAATGCTTCCTTTTTTTCACAAACTGAGCCAGTGCACTCAATGAAGGAGACAAAAAGCTCAGATATAAACATAAAACAAGTTACTACACCAAAAAAGGAAGTATTCTTTTTTTTTTTTTTTTTTGACAAAAAAAATTGTTTCGAGAGAAAGAAATGTTGGCTTGTTTGTTATAACTCTTTGACTGTGTATAAAGATTTTTAAACAGCGGTTGAGAAGCTCAGAGTGAAGGCTTTTCACTGCCCGATTCTGCTTAACTCCCAGCTAATGCAAAAGTAGGCAAATAGGTGGAGTATGAGTGGAGCTAAAGCCATGTAAAAGTGTCTGGGCCT